CCCTCTGGTTGCTGAAGAGGGTGCTGCTGTGGGCAGGTCACAGTCTGTGGATATGTGCTTTTTTCAGTGGTCTGCTGTGCCATACATCTTCCAGGGATAATTAATTAGTTGATATCCACACGCATCTTTTCCAGGAGTGCTGTGGTCCTGGAAGCTAAGAGACAGCATTGCAGCCAGGTGACAAAAAAAGATGACAAGAAGAAAAAAGCGATGGGATGAGATTCAAATTTCAAATGCTGGTCAAAATTACAGCCCAATATATATATATAATATTGAAATAAATAGTATGCATTATTATTCAGATGACTCTGTACCAGAACACATGATGTGTTACTGGTGACAGCATGTGGCATGAAAGAGTTCCTAAATCTTCTCTTGGCAGCAGGGCTGAATCAGCCTTCTAGAGAAGGTCCTTTGCTACCTAAGTGATTAAACTTACAAACTTATTACACTTACTAAGTGTAAGTAAGTGGTGCACGGGGTGCATGCATTATGCATGATGAACACAGTTTGTTTAGTGACCTCCTCACCACCACAGCTTCAAAAGTGTCTGTTTTGCAGCCAATCACAGAGCTATCCTCCCTAATCAGTTTATACAGTCTGTGGTGTCACCAGCTTCCCTTGCAGACAACAGCAAAGTGCACTGTGCTCACCACAGCTGACTGATTTTGCTGAAGATATTCAAGGATCTTGTGAAAAAGAGCTCCTTCTTGTGTACTTCCTCTGTGTTAGTCTTGCATTTCAGCCTATTGTCAGTGTGGACGCCCAGGTACTCATGCTTCTCCCCTAAATCATCCTGCCCCAGAGCAGGCTGCACAGCTGTCGACTTCAGATGGAAGTGAACACTTTATGACCTGTTCTGATTTGGACACTAAAGCTTCCTTCAACGATCTATGCTCTGTGAATTTATTCTTAGTCACTATAATAATATTTATTTCTCGAATCTCACTCATGTTGTTGGAGCTAATTAATGCTTTTGTTCTGTGCAGTGACATCACAGACTTTAAATCTGTCATTTAGTATAAAAAAAAAATCACCTCATTTTTGGACATTTTCTGGCTGTGAAGTCAAAATGAACCGCTTCAGGCTCTCTCGATAGTCACTTTTTAAAAGGCAATAATCCTCCTCATCCTTATCGTCAGACCAGAAAATAGCCGATAAATATTCCATGTGTTACTCTTTTACATTTACCTAATTAGTCAGTGGGTAAATAACAGACCTGAAACAATGAATCAGTGCGACTCATGCTATTTCATGCCTCAAAAATAAAGCACAGTATTGCATTATGGGGGTTTTGTAGATTCAGCCTAATTTATAGACTAAAGAATTTGGCTAGAAGGAGCAAAACATTGACCAGTTAACCAGGTTTATAAATATGCTTGTGATGATCTACATGGCACTACTGTGCTTTTGTTAGAAATGACCAAAAATGATATAGTGTATTTACTTTTGTATCCCATTAGCCCAGCACCTGTATGTGCTTGGATTTGTGGGGCCTTACTGGCATAGTTGTTCCAACAGAGGGCAGCACTGCTATATTTATCAATTTATATTTTACAAAGCATGGTCTTTTGGTGGACACAGAGGTCTGCCTCGGCGTAAAGCCTCGTCTTTGTACAAATAATAAGCTGTGATTGGCTTTGCATTACTAGAACTCACACAAATGTGGGTAGATCTTGATATTGTACTTACATAGCACACTGATATGGAAATGATGCTTTTTTTTCCACTAGCGTAAGGCGTATCACTCACAGGGAGGCACTAACGGCACAGCTTTACAGATGGCAGCAGTGCCACGGATGATGTGAATTACAACCATTTGTGCCCCAATGTCACGTCCAAAAGCATTTTAATTCATGTTTAATTAAATCGCCATAAGTCGCCTTGAACGATCTTCCTGATCCAAACAACGGTGATGCTCATTCTTGTGCATCCGGTTTGCATCTTCATTAATACTTCATTTATTCCCATGTGGAAAAAACCTCTGCACTTGACAGTCACAGCATAGCAGCTGAGAATCAACTCCAGTTCTCCTTGTGCCGTCTGAGGTCACGGCCAAGGAATTCTTTACGACTGTCCTGCATTCATGCCCTTCCTCAGTGAAGTAAAGGAAGTGAGACCTTGGGGCATTTGGGTAAGAATATCTACAGTAAAACACAGGCAAGACCTTGAGAGTGCTGATCTCTGTAGTTTCAGAATACATGGATGAAAAAGACGCAGACAAGCAGCTCATAGATGGTTGGAACAAGCTGCAACGGAGGCACAAGAGGATAATGACTATGCTGTCATCATCTGACAAAAGAAAAGGCTGTAATTACAAAATCACCTCTCTATCACTTGGCTGAGAGCAGAGTAGGAGCACAAGAGGTGAGGCCCGGTGCCCAGTCCATATTTATGTGAGAAAAGAGCTGGAAAACATGAAATAAAAGAGAGTCCACTGAGGGATTTTTATGATTTTCTTTTTTTGTATGTGGGTGAGATTCAAGAGGGATTGAATGAAAGGGTGTGAATTTGTCTGAAAAGGTCAAACAGAAGACAATTCCTCTTCAGAGTGACATAAGAGCTCCCCTTTCTCTCTGTCACTGTCTCTTCCCTTTTCATCCTTTCACCCCCAAGAGAATTCAGCCTGTTTCGGTCCACTGTCTCTCTTAGCTCCCTCCTTCTCTTCCTCCCTCATCCTTTCCTTTCATGGTCCTACAATCTCCCCTCTCTCACCGGGTGAGAACACCTTTTTTTTTCTCCCCCTCCCCTCCCTCCTCACTGTCTTTTTTTATCTGTCAGACTCTGACTCGGTCCCTCCCCGTCTCTCTTGGGTATTCAGTCGCCGTCCTCAGCATCTCCACCTGCGTCGGTCCTCCAGCAGTCGACCCGTGGATGCAGCGTTCCCTGCGAGATGACGCAAATGCTCAAATTCAGACTCCTGCGCGTGCACACGGACACACACACACGGCGTACGATGTAAATCAGCAGAAGTGCCCGCAGATGTGCCCTTCATTGCCATCTGTTGAGAGAAATGTGATGGGAGTTCACAGGAAGCCGTTTCACATTCAGTGGGGTGTTTTTTCCACCCACAGCTGTAAACATCAAAACATACACGAATAGTTCAATGTCATGCAAACTGCAAAAGGTTAGGAAGCTGACACCGAGAAAAATCTCTTTCTTGCGTTGTTACCCGATTGGCAGCAATGTCAGCTTTTACAGGTTTGCAGTTAATGACAATGAAAGATATGAATGAGTGTAATTCAAAGAGCCATATAGAATGCTTTCAGTGTCCATTAAACACATTATTTAAGACATCACTGTAACCATCATCATCGTCCTTTTGAATTAATTCGCATAATTGAAAACATAACTGTATTTAGTCACACCACAGTAGCCAAAAAGAGGTCACCTCAAGGTCATCCAGACATAGTGTGTTACCTCAGTGTCTATTGTGGTTTTTATGAGTGGATGAAAGATAAGGTGAAATAGCTCAGAAAGAGCAGGCGTGAGGAAATGCAGAAGGAAATTTGTGGTCATGGCAGGTTCATAAAGTGCAAAGAAGAGTGTGATGGGGGGGCGGGGGGAACGTAGGCATGGGAGGCGAAATGAGGAAAGCTGCAGAGAAAAGGCTCAGAGAGGGACAGAAAACGACATTACAGATCAGATGAGAGAAAGGTTAATGAGAAGAATCAATAAGATAATGATTTCATACCCTTCTAATGAAGGAGGACAGAGCCAATAGCTGATTCAGGCTTTCAGTGCTCTGGAGCCCCGGGGAATATTTGAACAATATTAGTTTACAGGCGTGCATGCTTGTGCACACAAGGGGAGGAGGGGGGGACAAAGAAGATGCAGAGGCACCCAGTTATGCATAAAGAAGCCACAATCAGAGGAGAAATTAAAAATAAATTGTGCTTACTAATTAATGGAATAAGCAGTCTCTGTGGGATAAGCCTGATGGGGAGGAGATGCGTGTGTCACATCATTTTCTGAATTCTCTCCCCCGAGGTTTCAAAACATTCAAAACAGTCTGCAGGGCAGAGAGCAGCAATATCATCAGCAAAGAAAAAACTAAGTTATTAATGTGGAACCCAAAATAGATGCTAACTGTCATTTCACAAAAGTGTGGTGCCTGTGTGGATATAATCCATCCGTGCATTCATTTTCTTCACTACTTGCTCAGGGTTGCTGGAGCCTATCGCACTAGACACAGAGTAAGAGTTGGGATACACCCCACACACAATGGACGCATACAAGAAATGTATTTTTAAAAAGTCTAGTTTACATGTCTTCAATCCATAAAGCACCACAGTATTCCACTCGCTGTGATATGATAGAGAGATTTGTGTGTGTGTCCATGGAGCTGTCTGCCCACTTATGTGAGGCATCAGGTGGGATATGACCAGTCACAGAGGCGTTCTATCCGCAGGGTTGTTTGATTGACACACAAACATAAAGCATCAAGAAACTGCTTTGTGAGATCCAAGTGAATAGACAGGGAGTAGGAATAAAAACAAAAAACAAAATGAAACACGCTCTGTGGGAGGAGGGAGAGATAGCGTGACAGTGATGTCAGGCAGGTGGGATGCAGGGAGAGGAAGGGAACAAATAAAAGGTGGAGAATCTCAGAGGACTGTGGAAACAAAGAAAGAGGCCATAAGTATTGTTGCCTTGTATCTGGATATTAATGTGGTTGTTTATTATTTCAGTGTGTTCAGTCCCAGAACAGCAGATATCTATGTAATATTAATGAATAAAAATGTAACAAATTAGTCGCTATACTAAATGCATTACTGCAGTCTGTCCATGCTAAGTTAGTGCTTTCCCCACTGTTATTATCACAAAGAACTAAAGCAGACACTTTTGGATTTAACTATTTTTTATTTTAGGAGCAAAGAGATTACCGGTTGTCAGGGTCTTTGGAACCAGCTCGCCATTGTGGAAACTAAGGCTCACTTATCGTTTACCTGCCTGCCCATGAACACACCTCAAGTCTCCTAGAAGTCTGTCTGCCCACCTGTAACTCTTCAAACTCTGTCATCATCCAGTCTAGCAAGTAAGCTTTTCACTATTCTCCTTCACAAATTGCCATAATCAGCCAGCTCTCATCTGTCTCTCTGTCTGGAGAGCCCTCTTGAGTTTAGCTGATGGAAAAGGGCTCAGCGCTATAGCCTGCCTGCCCTTTGTTAATTCCCTGAATTCTATAAATAAACCTTTTGAAACCCTTAGCCATGGTCTGAGTCTGCTCTTTGGGTCTGGTCACTGCAAAAACATGACAGCAGTGCTATTCAGTATCTTACACCATTTATTTCTGTTCCATAAAGATGAGTGAATGTCCTGTTTATATACTGCACTTCAGTAACAATTGGGGAAAAAATCATGCCAGATATCTAAACTGATATGGATGTGTTAGGAATTAAAAGACACCCCGAAAATCAAAGAGAAAAGACGATGTTACAGGCTAGTACAGGGGTCGGCAACATGCGGCTCCGGAGCCGCATGCAGCTCCTTAGTCCTCCGTGTGGTTTGGGAAAATAAATTACAAGTATTTAGCTGAAGTGTATTTTTTTGTATTAGTTCTTTTTAAACTTGTAGTTCTAAATTGAAAGATTATTGTGATATTGAAATATAAAAATAAAATTATATTTTATTATTTTTCGTCGCTCAAAATAAGCGTCACACTCGCTTTGGAGTTGACGTCACGCCGCAGTGCATTGTGGGATCGCGGCGCCATGTCAGTAGGCCAGAAAGCAAAACGAGCGCACATTGCTGGAGTGTTGGAATCGGGACTGCCAGAACCATGCTCAAAATCAGCGCAAAAGACAAAGTGCTGTATCGCGACCGATTGCGCCCAGACGCCAAGAGACGGTACTTTGAAAAAATTGCGTGCATCGGTAATGTGGACCCGTATGAAATAAGGAAGTGGAGTGGAAACCCAGACGACCTACCGCCGTTGTCCTATCCCGATATCTTCGCATACCTTGTCTGTGGAGTCAGCGCATACACAGCGAACCAGTTTAAGAATTATAAATCCCTGGAGGCCTACATCCAATTCACAAACGGCTGGGTGCAAGATTTGTCCATCTTTAAGCCTCCACGCTGCGAGTACGTTGTCGTTAAGACAAAGGTAAGTCGGTTTGAACTTGATAACTTTCTAAACAACTTCCTTGTTACAGTTTTTGCTTTGCACGTACACTCGTACAGCCAACCCATCTATATTAGCCTTGGTTAATTACAGACCTTTTATTAAAAGTGGCTTTTGTGTGTTTCAGGTACTGGACTCACAACAACTGAATGAAACTGCATTACAGCCATGGGTCATTGTGAGCACCAATGGGAGGGTTGAGGCTGCTCACTGCACATGCATGGCCGGAGTTGCAGAGGCCTGCACCCATGTCGCTGCTCTTTTGTTTAAAGTCGAGGCTACAGTGTGTATCAGAGGCACCAGAACTGTAACAGACGAGTCTGCATATTGGGTAATCCCCGGAAATATGACCGAGATACAGCCCGAGGTTGCACAGAACATTGACTTCTCCTCAACAGCTGCCCAAAAACGTGGCCTTGATGAAATCATAAACACACCCTCTGCATCGAGAGGCAAAAGGAGGCGATCGCAAAAAAGGCGGATTCCTATTGCAACGCTGGAGGATTTGTCACCATTACTGGATACACTGCAGGAACACAGCAAAGCAGTGAGTTTGTGTGGAATGGAAAAGTATTACACCAACTACACTACGCAGTCACCCACATTACCCCAATCCCTGGCGTGTTTACACAACAAAGACGCTGAGTCCCTTGGCCTTCCTGATCTTCAGGTGCACTGTCTAAAGTTTCTTAAATAGCCTGTAACGTTTCATTTTGTGGTTCAAGATTGATGCCAGCTGTGTGTTGCCATGTAAATAGTTTGCATTTCATTTTTTTGTACTTGCTAAGTACATGTGAACAGATCAAGAATAAAAAACAAACAAATATACTATTCTTTTCTGTTTTATTGAAACGACTTCACACAAAGTGCAATTATGTACAATGAACTACACATGCAACACAACAGCTTTATGAATACTCAACAGGAGCAAGTTTCATTTGGCCCTGGTTTGACAACCACACTGGGGCACATATTCACCAAAACACAGAAAACCTTAACAATCTTATCAATCAGTGTTGTGTTTATTTCTGCTCTGCCCTGTTCACTGCACACACAATGCCCTTTAGCTTCTGTGACCCTGTCTGTCCGATCACCACTGTCCACATTTGCAGCTGGTACCTCAACCTCCACTTGTCCAACACAACTGCTGTCCACTGCCTCCATGACATTGTGATTTTGTTGTTGGTCTTCTGTCAGATCTTCATCGATCACTTCTGCACGGGGCACACCTTCAGACTCTGCAGCTGCATAACGAAAGCCTGTAAGTTAAAATTAGTGCATACACATAAGGTAAATGTACACCAATATTCCAATGACCGGTGTGTGATTCATATGGAAGTTATGTGCGGATTAGTGTACAATGATAGCAATTTAGTATGTTTTTAGAGGCCCATGGGCAGTGTTGGTGCCCAGTCTGGATTTGTTACATCCATTTCATATGCTGGTTTGCCTGCAATAATGCCAAATCATAAGCTACTTAGTCGACATGACGTGGTTCTGCAGCATCACACATTAGCATGTTTTATCTCATTATGACCTCAGCGCATTGCAAATAACACTAAAAGCCTTTTAATAGTGATATGAATTAATTTAGAACTCACCGGAAAAGAAAATGCGGCGAGCAAACCAACAAAAAGCTGGGGATTGCAGAGAGCTCTATCCGCTCATCTCGCCGCTGCAATCCAAGCCTGACGTCTTTGTTTAGTAATATCGGATACATGGGATCCCTCACGTTGCCTCCAGGATGGAAAACGATGAAAAGAGAGCCCATTATCCAGCTTCTTGCCTTCACGATCGTGTGATCTAACGTTGCAACCGACAACATAACACGTACGAACCATAG